CACTCTACGATGTATACAATAAGAATTTGTATTATAATTTTAAACGTATTCTTTTATTGCATGCCTATGTACCCAAAACGTATGAAAAATTTTGTTGATTGGGTGCTAAAACCCAAAGCCTCAGAATGTAAGCTTTTAAACTCAGGTGAACTGACTAAAGTATTTTTAACTTACATAAATTATATGAGCTAACTAAAAAATAAAATCATTAAGCGTAGATGGAAGAAAATATTTACCTGCTTTTAAAGTTTAAATTGTTTAAATAGTGATTTTTAGCTTTATTTTATGCAATCTTTTGATTTATAACTCTCAGTCGTAACTATAGCTTACTTCATATATAATCCCAACAAGCATTCCAGTAAATGTTTTTAAAAATAACTTAAAGTAAGTTTGCTATAATAAGCGTTAAATAAGCATTTTTAATATTAAGCTTATTAAAAGTTTTTTCAAATAAACCTTTAATAAGTTTTGAGAGCCAATATTTATAAATAACTTAAACTTATAAATGAAATGCAAATGTCAACGACATGAAGTGGTAAATATAACATTTTTTCAATCGTAAGTGACGTGTTTACGTTTTTTTAAATATATTATTAAAAGAAAAAATTAAATAAAACCAATGCGGTAAAAAAAATCCAATCCAGGACCCGATGCGCTAATCGGTGGAGCATTCGAGTCTTCAAATGATGAGTTCTCCTTATCCTTTCTTAGTTTAACATTCAATTAAAAATGTATTAAATTTTTTTTCAGAAAAGTTCATCAATGAGAATATATAGCTGCATCGATATCGTTTTTCCAATTTGCCAATAACCGCATGTAATTGAAAGCACGCAACAAGATGTAATAATTAACTTTTTATGCTTAATTTGTGTGTGTTATCGTGGATTTGTATACAAAAATGTCTATTCCCTATTTATATTTTCGCGACTGTAGATGAGTCCGCCGAAAATTCGCATTTCTTTTAGTTTCTAGTTGTTAAGCAATCTATGTATTAGTTTTTAATGAAATATCTTTAAATAAAGGGTTATAAAAATGTTTATAAAAAGCTTTCTTTTGAAAATTTTTAGTAAGTTTATATTCATACGCTTATAAACTTTTTTTGAACCTTTATTATAAGTTTACACTTTTACGCTTATAAAAGGCTTTCTTTTGAACATTTATTACAAGTTTATATTTCTACGCTTATAACCAATGTTCCTTTTCGATTGTTTTACGCTTACTTTCAAGCGTTTTATAAACAAAAAATCAACGTTTTGTAAGCTTAATGTTTATAATTGAAAACTTAAAAAAAACTTTCTTTAAGCTTATTTTGCTTGTTGGGATCTTTTATGTACACATACATACATAGTTTGAGTTTGTTGCATTAGTTTTATTAGCTTATTGTTTGTTAGGCTTAGCGACTCTTTGTTTAACGCCTCTCAGCGCACCTTTCCTTGCTCCATTTACGATATTCTTAAGTGCGTCTGCATGTTTTGCTCGTTTTCTGTCAAAAATTTGTATATTTTTGCTAAATAAGTAACCTTTAGTATAATTACCATCGAATAACTTACCTTTTGTTTAGCGTATTTCGACTTAGTGGTATGTACGCGAAGGGATCGAGCTTGCCCTTCTTCTTCATATCGCCTTTAGGTTTCTTAGTTGTATACTCGCTGCCGGCGTATGCTGAAGCCGCTGTAGATTTGCCAGATTTGGCCGACTTCACAGAGTAGCCGGATTTTATTTATATTGCGTCACTACCGGAGGCGCCTAAGGGCCGATGAATACCTTTGGAACCGGCTACATATTTTGAAGCTGAAGTCTTACCCGAACGCATACTAATCGCATCGGTAGCTTTACGTTTGCGGCTTGTAGCTGGAAGTTCCTCCTCTTTTGTTTCTGTATTAAAGAGTGCGATAATAAGAGTAAATCACTTTTATGACTCCTTAATATAATCACGGTAGACATACCATCACTATGGTCAACTTCCATGCCGCGTTTAGGCGCTCGTTTTAGGCTCGCGATTATCCGCTTCCATATCTTTTGGCAAATCAGAACCGAAATCTGCCAATATGTCATCAATGCTGCAAGCATGCATTAAAAATAAATAGGTTCTTTTAAAGGGAACTTTTAACTTACGTTATGCTCTTCTTTTCCAGCCCAGCGACGAATTCATCCTCTGAATCGTCGTCATTGGTCTTATCTTTTTCGTTCAATTGCTTTCTATTTTCACGACTTATTTGCTCCGTACTTTCTACAGGCGCCGATGCGTTACTTCATCATCACCAGGCACAAATTTAATTAGCTCCTCAGCTGTGAAGTTATGGTCTGAAAAGAAAGAAATTTGCATTAATTCATTGTAAATACACGAAATTAATAAATTTCAATCATTTGTTTACCTTTTCACAAACCGAATTACCAAGAAATAGAAACTCACCGCGATGCGATACAGAAATAAAAACCAACAGGGCTGCATTTTTTTTGGTAAAGTACATTTCACCACAAGCTCTCAGAGCATTCCGATCCACAATATTATTTTGTGAAAAATAAGACTTGAAAAGAGTGTTTACACATGATTATCATATTATTTAAATAGTGTAAATTATTGTGTTTATTTTTAGTCTAATATGAATGCATTATCTCAGACTTTTTTTCAATGTTTTCTAATATTCGTTCTTTTAGCGGCAGATGCAACCATGCGCTCAATTTTTTGCGTGGAAAGTTTATCCCCATAAAGGACTTCACCACGAAACAAGTTACAACAACAAACACATTTTCTACTGGTATACTGTGGCCAAACACGATGTTGATTCGTTGCTCTCTAGCCAACGACTAAACGATAGAGCGTAAGAATACGTGTGAGTTGATCTTCCACAATTGTGGTATGAAGCGCCGACCACTGATATACACATATGTATACCTAAACCTAAATATATATGTATGTGCGTTAGTACACCACAGGTTAGTTGGCCTATTTTTTCTATTAATATCTTCACTTGCTCGTGATAGTGGCCAGCGAGCAAGTCGGGATACAGAAAATTGCAAAGTCAATTATTTATTTTATTTATTTATTTAAGTAGCTGGCTGTGCCTAAGACTGATGTCTTTTAAGTCCATCGTATATAATATTATCGGTTACAACTATGATAACTGGCATACATAAGTATAAAAATAAATTAGCTTAAAATTATTTTGTATAAAGATGAAGAAGAGAGAAAAATTTTATATATTGAACAATTTAAACACTTCCAGTTTAAAGCGCCTAGCATTTAGCACGGATTTAATTTCATTTGGTAGGGAGTACCATAGTTTGACAACACTGACAAAAAACATTCTATAAGAAGCAAGATAATTATGTTTTGGTACAATCAGATTAATTTTTCAAAAAGGTATTTCGGGTTTTTCAAATTGATGAGCTTATGCAAAAATATAAGGCTGCGGTAATTCAAGAAACCAGTCAGATTACAATTAAGTATCTTACAACTAAAATGTGATATGTGGTCGAACTTGCGCTTAGCAAATACGTATCTGGCACAGCTATTTAACGCCATTTGAAGTTTTCGCTCCGATGCACTATCCAGTTGTCCACAGATGAGTTCACCATATGAAATGAGTGGCACTATTAGAGTTCTCACCAAACGTAATTTTATGTCCTGAGGAACAAAGTCAGCTGTGTACCATAGTTTTCTCAGAACAAAATAAATCCTACTTATGGTGTGGTTTATATGATCCGAACACCCTAAATAGGAATTTATTTTGAAACCAAGACTAGTTACAACTGGTTCAAAAATGATCGGTGTGTCCTCTAGAGTTAGTGTTGGGAGAAGATCTTCAGTATTCGAACAGTGTGAAATACATATGGCTTTGGTTTTCGTTGCATTTAAGCTAAAATTATTCAACTTGGCCCAGATGGAAATAGAAAGGAGATCTTCATTTATTCTGACTATTAAGTCCTCAGAGAGACCAATTGGACGAGAAAGGTAAATTTGAGCATCATCCGCATACAAGTGTATGGACACGCTTTTACAGCAGTGAACGATATCATTAATGAACATGCTGAACAAAATTGGGCCTAGTATGGATCCTTGTGGTACCCCCGAGTGCAGTCCTCTTAGCTCAGAACACACATTTTTTACAACAACCTTTTGCCTACGATTACCAAGATAGTTTCGAGTAATTTTACCGCACTATCAGAGAATCCAAAATATTTGTTTAGTTTAAGTAAGAGTATTCTATGATCAACTTTGTCAAATGCCTTGGAAAAATCTAATAGGGTTAAAATAGTTAAATCACCCTTATCAAACACAGGTCTAATATCTTCTATTACCTTTAGCATAGCTGTAGCACAGCTGTGACCCTTTCTGTAACCAGACTGGTTCGGCGTAAGAAGTTTATTTCTATCAAGATGCATAACTATTTGCATGACCATCAGCCTTTCCAAGGGTTTAGACAGCGAAGAAAGTATACTTATCGGGCGGAAATCCGATGGAAAAACACCCGAATGACTTTTAGGAATTGGAGTAACCTTGGCTATCTTCCAGGCATCCGGAAATGTCGATGAGGTAATGGAGAAGTTCAAAATGTGTGTCAGTGTAGTAAGTACGTTTGGGAGAATAATTTTTAAAAAACTTTTAGCATTCGATTTTATTGAGAAAATACCTTTTAAAACGTCATACTCAGTCACAGTCGAGAAACTGAAAGGTTTATTTGTTTTAAATAAAAGGTTTTGGTCTAGTTTGAACCCATTGCTATTTTGCAAAGTGTTCGACTGTAAGAAATAGTCATTCATGGTATTAACATCTAAATTACATTCAAAGTCACCTTTACTTCCTATGCCCACAGACTTTAGGTTATTCCACAGTATTTTGCTTGGTAAGTCTGCATTTAGTTTGGTTCGATAGTGCTGCCTTTTCGAATTTTTCGTAGTAAGATTAACGCGATTTCGGGCTTTGCGATATGCTTCCCAGTTTTCACAAGTTGGTTTGCGTTTCCAACGAACGTAAAGCTTATTTCGAGTTCTAATAGTTAGTAGAACCTCTCTTGTGAACCGTGGTTGTTTTCTGTCAGAAGTTTTAACGACTCTTAAAGGAATATATTTCTCAAAAAATAATTTACCGCGGAGGTAAAAATGTTCAGCTTTTGGTTAATGCCAGGAAAAGACCAGACTGTATTCCATTCAAGGATACCGGCCTCATGCTTTAATGCTCTAATATCAACTGATTTGAAATCCCTATAATAGAAAGGCAGATCAGTATCGTTATTGAACTGAAGGTTATAAGATGCAAAAATGATATCATGATCAGATATTCCCGCAAGCGTAAACTGATCACAGTGAACTAGATTAGAACTATCAGATACACAGAGTAAGTCCAGTAGACTTGCCTTACAGTTATGAGAAAAGCGTGTGGGAAATTTATTAATAACTTTTAAGCCAACAGAAGCTAGTCTATCTACTAAAACGTTGGAACTGCAGTCGCTATTCAGAAGATCTATATTGAAGTCGCTCATATTTTAACGCTAACTCAGCTACTTCTTTAAAAAGACCAGTAAGATCAAATCTCTTACTAGGATTGTAGACACATACTATAAGACACTTTTTGCAACCATCCCCAATTTCTATCATAAGATACTCTACTTGATCGTTGGAATCTGATTTAAATTTAATTTTGTGTTTTAGCCTGGAATTGCAGTATATAGCGATACCGTCACCCTTCGATCCCGTTTTCCTATCATTTCTTAGAAGTTTATAATCATACAAAGCGCAAGTATTATCACTCACAGCTTCACTAAACCATGTTTCTGTTACGCATAACACATCAATTTCAAGGCCCTGTAAAACGTAATTAACATAATCCACTTTTTGAATATTAAAACTACTAGCATTCATACAGCACAGCTGCAAGCCAGCATGTTTTTTACTTACAACGCTCAGTAGAAATTTTAAACAGCTTTTGTCAGTGCTGAAACTCGTATTAACATTAAACATTTTGAAGTATAAAATCGGCGCAATTAAGCTGGAAGTTCACATTAGCGGTAGAAACATTAATGAGATTCAAAGAGAAAATAAAAGCAATGGTATAAGCAGAAATAAGGAACAAAGGGAATAATAAGTCTAAAAAACTAAAGTATGATAACCTTATGTGCGTATGTGCATGTAGTAAGAGTCAAGTTACTTTCTGTCGTGTGGCTTGACTGACAAGCGCATCAACGCTCTCTTTTCTGTCCACAAGAATTGCCTCTTTACTGTGATGAACTCTTACATGGACTCTTCCTCGAATGCTAAATGCAGACGATAATACTTTTTGGCGTTTGAGTTGTGTTGCGTGATAAATTATTTCTCTATTGGCCTTTGTCAAACTTTCGTGCACGTAAACATTTCCTCCACCACACAGGCCAATATCAGACAGAGTTATTGATCTCTTTTTCAGCTTACAAAAACCCGCTATTGATTTAAATAGCTCATTCCTAGCATGCGGGGAATTGAGCTTAATCAATATTGGTACTACATTGGCTTGGCTCTGGTTTGGTCGCAAACGAAACGACTCACGTATACTCGGCATGGCAAAACCAACTGCCCGACACACCCCCGCAAA